GTTCATCAATTTATGTTGATCATTATATTTTACATATGAGTAACATCATGTGATATTTATCTTTCTCTGAGTAGCTTATTTTGCTTAGCATGATGCTCTCCAGTTCCATCCATGCTGTTTCAAATGGTAAAAGTTCCTTCTTTTTTATATCAACATAATATTTCATGTGGAGATGTACCACAGTTTTCTAAACCACTCATCTGCTGATGGGCACTTAAGCTGTTTCCAAATTTTGGCTGTAGTAAATTGTGCATATATCCATTCTGATTGGTATTTTTGATTTCTTGGGATATACTCATAGAAGTGGGATTACTGGGTCAAATGGGAGTACTATTTTTAACTTTTTGAGGCAAATCTATACTGTTCTCCACAGTGGCTGGTCCAGTCTGCATTCCCATCAGCAGTGCACCAGGGTTCCTTTTTCCCCACATCCTCACCAGCACTTGTTTCCTGATTTGTTGATGATAGCCACTCTGATAGGTGTGACATGGTACCTCATTGTTGTTTTGATTTGCATCTCTCAGGTGATTAGGGAGTTTGAGCATGTTTTCATATGTCTCTCAGCCTTCTGTATGTCCTCTTTCAAAAAGTATCTACTTAGGTCCCTTGCCCATTTTTTGATGGGATTGTTTATCTTCTTTTTGTTAAGTTGTGTGAGTTCCCTGAAAATGTTGGAGATTAAACCCTTATTTGCAATAGCCCTAGCAAATATCTGCTCCCGTGCAGTGGGCTTTCTTATTATTTTGTTGATGGTTTCTTTTGCTGTGCAGAAGCTTTTTATTTTTATGTAGTCCCATTTGTTTATTTGCTCCTTAGTTTCCATTATCCTAGGAGCTATATCAGTAAATATATTGCTACAACATATGTTTGATATTTTGCTGCCTGTGGAGTCTTCTAATATTTTTATGGTTTTCCATCTTACATTTAAGTCCTTTAACTATTTTGAGTTTGTTTTTGTGTATGGTGTAAGTTTGTGATCTCATTTCATTTTTTTTTTTGCATGTATCTAACCAAGTTTCCCAGCACCATTTACTGAAGAGACTGTCTTGACTCCATTGTATGCTCTTGCCTCCTTTGTCAAACATTTATTGAGCATAATGGCATAGGTCTAGTTCTGGGTTCTCTGTTCTATTCCATTGGTCTAGGTCTATATGTCTGTTCTTGTGCCAGTAACAGGCAGTTTTGAGAACTGTGGCTTTGTAATATAGCTTGATATCTGGTATTGTGATCCCTCCAACTTTGTTCCTCTTTCTCAGGATTGCTGTGGCTATTTGGGGTCTTTTTTATTCCATATGAATTTTTGGAGAGTTTGTTCTAGGTCTAAAAAATATGCCATTGATATTTTAATGGGGATTGCATTAAATATATAAATTGCTTTTGGTAGTATAGACATTTTAAGGATGTTGAATCTACCAATCTATGAACACGCTATGTTCTTCCATTTGTTTATGTCTTCCTCTATCTCTTTTTTCAATTTCCTATAGTTTTCGAAATTGTGTTGAAAACTTTTAACATCTACTTTCTTAGCAACTTTCAAATGTACAATTCAATATTAACTATAATCATCATTCTGTCTATTCCCAGAATTGATTTATCTTTCCTTGTAACTAAAAATAATGAACTATAAAGACGACCAATTACAACTTTTCCTTTCTTAATGGGATTTCTGGAAGACAGACTTTCCCATTCTCCAACAGCAATAATTCAAAGTAAAAAGCACTATGTAAAATAAAAAGTTTCATGAGAGAACTGATAAAAATTATACTTTTATTAAAATTTTTGTTGTAAACTGTAAAAAGTATTTTCTGGAAATGGAATGTTCAGATATTGCTATACAATCTTTCCTAGTGAAAATTAATCAAGTTTATCACCACATGAATGCAAATGGCAAGAGAATTCATTTGATGAGATAATACTGTGTAATAATCTCTAGCATAGTAATCTTAGCAGTAGAGATAAGGCAGGGTATGTGTTCTATTATTTCATCATAACATATTTATAATTAATTTAAAGTTGTATTCATACTAACCATAAACATATTTACAAATGTTGAGTCCAAAATGCAGAAATATCTATGTAATATTTGTTTATTTGATGAGCCTAGATCAATATTTTTTTCTATTTATCAATCCCATATTTTTTCTAAAATTAACTAAAATTCACCATTTACTTTATTTTTTAAAATATATTTTTATTTATTTCAGAGAGGAAAGGAGAGGAAGAGAGAGATAGAAACATCAATGATGAGAGAATCATTGATCGGCTGACTCCAGCACTCTCCCTACTGGGGATTGAGCCCACAACCTGGGCATGTGCCCTTGACCTGAATCAAACTAGGGAAGCTTCAGTCTGCAGGCTGATACTCTATCCACTGAGCCACATAGGCTAGGCTCACCATTGACTTTCTGGGTCAATGGGCTAATGCTGCTAAGCTGTAGGACTAACCAAGGATAGAACAAGAAGATATCACTTGCCGAAACCAGTTTGGCTCAGTGGATAGAGCATCAGTCTACAGACTGAAAGGTCCCAGGTTCAATTCCAGTCAAGGGCATGTATATTGATTGTGGGCACATCCCAGGTGAAGGGTGTGCAGGAGGCAGCTGGTCGATGTTTCTCTCTCATTGATGTTTCTAGCTCTCTATCCTTCTTCCTTTCTATCTGTAAAAAAAATCAATAAAATATATCTTAAAAAAATATATATCACTTATTTTTGTTCTTATCTTATTGATTATAAGGCAAATTTAGTTCATATATATAATGCATAATAAATTATTTAAAAATTTTAAAGGTAAATTTATTTATTTCACAGTTGTTGAACAAATGAATTTACAAATATTTTATGTAAATAACATATATTAAATATTTTACTTTTTGTGGGCTATATAGACTGTGTTACAACTATATACTCTGTCATTGTAGTGCAAAAGCAATGTTCTGAAAATGAATGTTTATTACTGTGCTCCAATAAAACTGTATTTACAAAAAAAGCAATGGGGCAAATTTGGTTCATGGGTCATAGTGTTACCAAGAAACCACCAGGAAGGCTTGGCCTGCATATTGCTGTGTCCAATAACAAAGGCAGGGTTGAATCATGTAAGCCATTTATTGAAAAGGCTAGCCAACCAAGAAGACTGAATGCTTACAAGCATTCAAATCCTGTCTTGCAGCAAGGAGCAGGGGAAGGGGAATGGACTAGAGTGAGGATGAGAATGGAATGCAGCTACTTGCAGCCCTGGAGGTCCAAAGACAGCAGCTATTGTCCTTAGTCATCAGGTAATGGATGATGAGATGATGTTTTGACTCCTGGTGGGTTGGTATGACCATGCTTATGGGTTCTGTTTGCTGGATTCACAGCTGAGTCACCTCCGCAATTGCTTAGCACATGCTCTGAAAAGAAAACTTAACCCCCTACTCACATAAGTATATGTATTCTAAGATTACAAATAATATGATTATTTTTCAGATTAATTCAGGTGCTCTATTTAGTAATAGTTTGCCCGATTCCTATTCCAGACAAAACTCTTAATTAGTTTATTTATTTTGGCCCCATTCTTCTGAACTATAAAGTTAAAAGCAGGCAAGTGAAATGAAAAAGAAATGGAGAACAGTAGAAAATAGTACAATCAAAGCTATTCACATCTTGAAACTTTCTAACTAAAGGATACCATAAGTACAAACAACCATTAAAAAGAAAACAAAATTTATATAGTAGTTCTCATTTAGCATCATGGTTGTTGCTACGGTTTTCTAACTTCAGAAAAATGAAGTTACTAACTAGCAGTTCGGTGAACATCTAAAGAAATATACTGAGAGAAAATGTGTCCATTGCAGTCACTGAAGTTTGGATGTCATGATAAGACTTAGGCTGGTCAAGCCAGTGCACTAAAACCAGCAGGGACCAGCTGATAGTATAGCTGAGTAAATCTTTCTCCCTTACTACTAGAAGAGCTATTTACATCATAAAGACTTACAATTTGCCCAGCTGGTGTGTGTGGCTTAGTGGCTGAGTGTCAACCTATGAACTAAGAGGTCACTGTTCAATTCCTGGTCAGGGCCAGTTTTAAGGCTCCATCTCTAGTAGGGTGCATGCAAGAGACAGCTGATCAGTGATTCTCTTTCATCATGGATACTTCTATCTCTCCTACTTCCCTAATCTCTGTAATCAATAAAAATATATTTAAAAAAAAACCACAAAACTGAGTTTCATTAACTTCTTGGTTGGCTAGCATTTTCAATTCTCTTAAAATTCAATATGTATTAAATTTCATAAATTTGTCTGAAATTTGTTATTATAAGAATCCAGAGGTGAATATGTCATATAATAGTGTCTTCCAGTAATACAAAACTTAATGCAGTGATGGAAAATATACTTCATCTTAAGTGCCACTTTTAAATTTATAATTGTTATCTAAAAAAGAATGTTAACAAAGATATCAAGGCTTTCTCAAGCTCAGCAGAGAAAATTCACAATTGTCAAGTTTTATCTGCCATGAATAGGAGCATATTTTTCATTTTCAATCTAATCCTTTATACCTGAGAGATAATTTTCTCCCAATTCCATTATTTCCTTTATCACTCTACTCAATTGACTAAAATCCTAGAAATACAGGTATGAATAAAATATATTTTTCTTAACCAAGACTGGTTGGAGTGTTAAAAATAAAAATAAACAGTAATCACAACCTAGAACTATATATATGCCATGTAACCACAGAGGATAATAGAATTACAGAATTATGTATTCTTTGGAAATCATAAAAACCCTGTTTCCTCTGTCTCCTATGTACATAAGTAGTGTATAAACCTAGCCTGCATTGTATTAATGGGAGCAGGAGACAGAGCTCTGGCCACTGAAATGTGGTCCTCAGTTGTAAATGTAATGTTCAAGTTTGGCCTATAAAAATCAACCATATGCCAAAACCGGTTTGGCTCAGTGGATAGAGCATCAGTCTGCAAACTGAAAGGTCCCAGGTTCGATTCCGGTCAAGGGTATGTACATTGGTTGCTGGCACATTCCCGGTAGGGGGTGTGCAGGAGGCAGCTGGTGGATGTTTCTCTCTCATCGAAGTTTCTAGCTCTCTATCCCTCTTCCTACCTCTCTGTAGAAAATCAATAAAATATATATTTTTTAAGCTGATAAGAACAGATACTACACTTGATCTTAGCCAAAAGGCCGAGAAGCGATAAAAAATATATATTTTTTAAAATCAACCATAATATCCTCTGCTCAAAGAATTGGCAAAGTTCTTCTGTAAAGGACTAGATAGTAAACCTTTTAGGCTCTGAGAACCATATGATGCCTGTCACAACTTCTCAACGTTATCATTATAATGCAAAAGTATCCATACACATTATATAAACAAATAGGCATGACAGTGCTCCAGTAAAAGTTTAATTACAAAAATAGAAGACTGGGCAGATTAAGCCCCTGATGTTAGTTTGCCAATTACAACTCTACTTTTTCTATTTTCCCATCTGCTACCTAGTTGCAAAAGTCACAGTCAAGGAATTAAAGGCCAGCTAAGTGAAAAAGACTGTCAACCCTCAGTCACTACATAGAAAACTGTCTACTGGATAATGCATTGAACTCTTAAATGAGAGAGAGATAAACTTAACTTGGCTTTAAGTTGAAGAGTTTTGTTTACTCACTATAGAAGATTTTATACAAAAGGTAGAGATTTTGTGCCAGTAAAAACATAAGTTGTCATAGCATGCAGCTAAATACCTAGCAATAAGATTACAGGTTTGTATGGTAAGCATGTGATTAACTTTTATAACTGTCAAACTGTGTTCCCAAGTGGCTACATCATTTTGCATTTTCATCACCAGTTGATCTGTATCCATGTCAGAATTGAGTAAATGTATGTATATGCCAGAATGTGCCCAAAAGAGTGGTTCTGTGATTTTGGCACTTAAGCCCTTCTCAGTGAAACCAGGAAACTAATCTATATGTGGTACCACAGTTAAAAAAATGGTATTCCTACTAAATTGTAAGAATGACCATACTTCCCTATCCCTTTCTACAGTATATCCATTCCCTTTTGCAAAGCAACTTTGCCATTATTTCTCCACGCCTTATAGCTGGGTTGGCCTTATGACTTGCTTTGATCAATAAAATGTAGCAGAAGTGAAAGGCCCAGTTTTGAGATCTTGCATGCTTCCACTCTTGCTCTTAGAACCCTGTGACTAACATGTGAACAATTGTAAGAGGATATGAAAATACATGAGTCACATTCAAAGCATCTTAACTGAGGCCATATTAAATGAGCCAACCTGAAGTCGATCTTGCAGCTGACCACATATGTGTGAATGCACCTCGCCAAAACCATAAAATCTACCTAGCTCTGTCCAGACAAAATTGCCAAACCATAGAACCATGATTAAGTAAGTGGGTGTTTAATGTCACTGAGCTTTGACATGGTTCATTATGTAGCAATGACTAATTAATATGCTGTTTAATCCCTAACCTATTTATATAATCCAAAAATAAAATGTATGCTGCTATTAGTAAATAAAATCAGTGTTCTTATTAGCTCTTCTCTCTGGCACTATTCAAATCTGAAAGGCAAAAGGGTTTTCTTTAAAAATAAAATGGTACTTCAGAAATTATGTAGATTGGTTTCTGTAAACAAGTTACACTCTTAGTTTTTCCAGTAGTAAGCTATGTGACTTTAGAGAAATTATTTAACTTTTTTGCCTCAGAATCTTCATATGTAAAATGAGAATATTGGAGAAATCACATTCTAGGAAAGGAATTATACACATATCCATATATATGAATATATCTATCCTATTCATGTATACATATGCTCTACATGCAAACAGAGATACATGCATATGCACATTTGTATGTTTTCATGTGTGTATGTGTTTACTCCAACATGTATGTATTTCTAAAAGACCTTAAAAGAACAATCTTGGAATCTGAACCATCTTGGAAAAGCTCCCAATAAATGTAAATTTATAATAGAGAAAGACAAAGAATAGGGCAATAAAAATGTATAACAAATGTTCTGATACAATCATCTCTGTGATGATAAGAAAAATCCTACTTACTGACCAGTCTGTCGTTCATACACAAGTGAAAGACGCAAGTAGAACGCCATATACAATGAAAGCAAACCACAGGCACCAATGAAAGAATCATCACAGAGCTTCAGAGGTGGCAGAAACTTTAAAAATCAAGTATAACTTTCAGAGTTTTTATTATTATTTATTTATTTATTCTTTTAAAAAATATTTTTTATTGATTTTAGAGAGGAAGGGAAAGGGAGAGAGAGAAAAATCAATGATGAAAGAGGACCATTGGCTGCCTCCTGCACAACCCCCCACTGGAGATTGAGGTAGGCATGTGCCCTTGACAGGAATCAAACCCAGGACTCCTTAGTCCAAAGGCTGATGCTCTATCCACAGAGCCAAACCAGCTAGGGCTTCAGAGATTTTTGGATTTCATTGATTTAAGTAAATTACTTTCAACAAAAATTATTGAAAATTTCAATTGTGAAACTTATTATGCATATTTTGTGCAAATCCTATTCTGGAAAAATCAAATAACCTGCTGAAAGTCAACTGGTTAGTAGTTGAGACTAAGAAACAAGTTTCCTGATTTCTATTTTAGTACTCTTTCTACCACATGAGGTAAATATTCCATAAAATGACAAAAAACCTTTCTATGACAAGTTATCATTATATATTAAACAAAATATAATTTTAGTATATTTCAAGAGAACCAGTTATTTATTGTAATCGTACTTTGAAAAGATTTTTTTTTACAGTAAATAGGTGAAAAAAAATTTTCCAATTTAATGGAAAGGCCAATATAATCAAACTCCTACATCTATGTTGGACTTCTGGGATCCTATCTAGGTGGAATCTAAATTGCCCTGCCAATCACAGGTAGGAACTGGGTTATAAACTGCTGAAATCAATTCATGACTCTTCCACTTTGCTCCCTCTCTTAAAGAGATCCCTTCATCACTGTAATGGGAGGGAGCTTTTCTAATTTCTGATATCTGCTTTGTTCACGCTACAAAACTTTCAATCAATCATGCCACAAATGTCTCTCAAAATTAACTCTTCTTTGAGTCACAGTGACCTTCTTTTCCTCTCCAACTTACCGTATTTTTCGGACCATAAGACGCTCCGGACCATAAGACGCACCAGTTTTTAGAGAAGAGAAATGAAGAAAAAAAGACTCTGAAACAAATAGTGTCCTAAAATATTTTATGTGCATTAAAACCCAACATCACAGACATAAATACATGTAATCAACCCTGTAAAGTAAACAGCAGCATTTAGAACCATTTTAGAGCCGGGCAAGCACACAGAGACCACACAGAGCCGGGCAAGTAAAAAAACTTTTTTTTAAAGTATATGTGTAGGGTATATTTGGACCATAAGACTCAGGGACTTTTTCCCCCCACTTCTGGGGGGGTAAAAGTGCGTCTTATGGTCCGAAAAATACGGTATCAAGTCAGAAGGCTAAAGAAGGGCTCATTCCAATGTAACCCTGATATTTGGGGGATAGTGATCTGAATCCATGCCAGCAAGCTCAATGTACATTCATGATAACCTATAATAAGTCACTACCTCCTTCCCAGATACTGGTCTTGCAGAACCAGTTACAGAGGCCATGGGGCTGTGGACAGTGCACTGCCCTGGGGGAGGGTTATTAACACTGGTGCAAGGCCAGACCATCAGATATGGCCTGGAGACCCCCAACACTGGGGGGGCCTTCTTGCAAGGCCTGAGAAAAGGACCAGAAGCATAATCCATATTTGTGGGACAAAGATCACAAGGAGATATAAAGGAAAGCCCCATGCATCTTCCTTCACTCAGATTAGGAAGGCTGTTCCCTGAGTCTGCCAGTGTATTAAATAACATTTTTACCTATGTGACTGGTAGATTGCTTATTTCCATTTCGTTTCATTGTCTTTCTGGAATTTTGTCCTATGCTTTCATTTGGGACATGTTCCTTTGTCTCCTCAATTTGGCTGCCTCCCTGTGTTTGTTTTTATGTGTTAGGTAAAGCTTCTAGGTCTCTTGGTCTTGGAATAGTGGCCTTATATAGGAGATGTCCTATAGGGCTCAATGGCACAGCCTTTGTAGTCACCTGAGTTGGGTGGGTCAGGTGTATCCCCTCCAACTGTATGGACCTTGTACACCCTCATGTTGTTGATTTTGATTGATATTGGCACACCAAATGGCAGGATTTACCCCCAGGCCCATCAGCTGTGAGGACTGGCTATAACCACCTTGGAGATTCCACAGAACAGAACTCACTTCAGCAGGGTTTTTATGCCCACTGAGTCCACTCTTTGAGTGTGTTGCTCATGGAGATGGTTGTTAATGCTTTGGCATTGTCTAAAGCTGTCCACAGGTGTGCTGGCTCTGTAGCATCCTAGGAGGTTCCGGCCAAGGTCAGCCTCTGCCTGTGCCCTGTCCCCTGTCCATAGCCACCCAAAATGAACTACAAAGCAATCTGCTGATGGCTGCTACTTGTGTTGGGCTTGGTGATGCCTGGGAGAGGCAAAACTGTGAACCAAGGCCAGCTATTGTTACACTGGGCCTGGGGCTATGAGGTACAAGGTATGTAGAGATCAAATGCTGCCCGTTTGAGAGCTTTTAGAAAAGTTGGCAGTGTGAATCAAAACAAGCCATTTGTATAGAAAACCCACTTAAAAAGTGCTTGGTTGGGATTGCAAGTTGGATAGTTCTGCTAGTTGGGTGCAGAGGGGTCTCAGGGAATCACCAGAGCTGAGCAAATAGTGCTAGCCAAATTGAGGGGGAGTTAGATATCCATATAAATGGAAAATAAAATATTAATAATATTTTGCTTTATATAAATCAGAGTGGTGAATATTTAAAAGTAGATAATGTCAATTTTTAGCAAATATAAAAAAGTAAAACTTTCATGAATTGCTGGTAGACATATAAACTGGGATGATCACTTTGGTGAGAATTCAGGCATTATTTCTGTGAAATTTAACATGTATAAAACCAAGAATTCTACTACTGTGTGTGTACAAATTAATATTTCTTCTATTGTTCAAAGGAGACACAAGAATATGTCTTAGTAAGATTTTCATGGTGGTAAGCAGCTAATGGCCATAATTAGAGGAATGAATATTTGATAAATGTGTACTATTTAATCCAGAAGATAAAAATAATTAATAATATAAATTC